GTTCCAAGAAAATATGACATGTAAATGACCAACAGGTACACCAAATGTTGTTATCACTCATGGTCAGGAAAATGCAACAAAAACCACACTGAGATATCACCCACATCTGCTAGAAAGACTGCCTTTAAGAAAACAAGAAATAACAGGCAAGGATGTAAAGGAAGCTTGAGCACTGTTGCTGGGACTATAAGTCAGTGTAGCCAGTGCATTGAAAGCAGTATAGAGGTTCCTTAAAAAATTAAAAATAACCTACATATTATCCAGCAATTCCATTTTTGGGTATTTACTCAAGGGAAATGAAAACTAAATGAGAGAGATAGCTACATTCCCACATTCATTGCAGCCTTATTTACAATGGTAAAGATATGGGAGCAACCTAAGTGTTCATCAGTGAATGAGTTGATAAAGTAATTGTGTATATATGTACATATATATTATATAAAGTAATTGTGATTTTTATGTACATATCTAGTGGAATATCATTCAGGAAGGAAATCCTGCTGCTTGCAATCATATGGATATATCTTGAGGGCATTATGCTAAAAGAAATAAGTTAAGCAGAGAAAGACAAATACTATATGAAATAATTTATATGTGGAATTAGAGAGAAAGAACTGAACTCATAAATGCAGAAAATAAACTGGTGATTGCCAACCCGCAGTGGTTCATGGGGTGGATGAAATAGGTGAGGTGTCAAAGTTACAAGATATAAATCTTAAAGTTATAAAACAAAGATAAGTAAAGTTAGAAGATAAAGGAATCTTGAAGATTTCCTGTAAGGCATGTTGTCAACAGTTATCAATACTGTATTATATATTTGAAAGTAAGAGAGTAAGTCTTAGAAGTTACCACACACAAAAATTGTAACTATGTGTGGTGATGTAACTGAAACCAGGTTTAAGTTGACTGAACTTACTGTGGTCATCATTTCACAATACATATCTATATAACAAATCATTATGTTGTACTCTTAAAGCTCATACAATGTGATATGTTAATCATATCTCAAAAAAGGAAGGTAAAATGTGGGGGGACAAGAGTGTGAAAATGTTGATAATTATTGAAATTGGTAATTTTCAAACTAATAAGGGCTAAGGTTAATTATATTACTCTATTTTGTGTAAGTTTATCACAAAAAAAAGTTACAGAAAAAATTATTTTGCTGTCTCCAACCTGGGTTGGTATTAAGTTTCTGATTTGGACTACACTAAAAGTTGGTTCAAATGTTAAGGCAAATGCTTATTTGGAAAAAGAGCCTTGTGGAATTAACACATAATTTAAGTTTGTGTGTAAATTTTTGAATTACTCACAAACCTGGGACATTATGTGTTAATGTAATTAACTCTGACTGTAAAGTAATAACATTCATATGTTCTTGTAAATAATACTATGAGATATGTTTATAGTATTATAGTTCTTAAGCTGAGATGATCAATTTTTAATTGAATTGATGGGCAAGTTTTAAATCATAAGCTGATAAAGTTGGGTGATATAGTTTCCTAGGTATACACAGTCATTTAAAAAATTTTAAAGAATTATTCCTTTTTGTAAGATTTTTATTTTATTTATTTTGCATAGAAGAACTGGGGTACAGACCAGAGGTATGGGATGGAGGTGAGAAGATTCACCAGAGACAGAGTGGGGAACAGAAAAGGCAGATCTACTGAACTACACTGCTGAGGAGAGCAGTTTGTGAGACAGAAGAGGTCTGCTGCCAGTGTGGTCAGCTCCTGGCTGAGGATGGAACTCATGCTTCTTTGCAGTGGGAGGGCCTTTGAGGTGGTACAGCGCTGAGACTTAACCTGCAGGCCATCACGGAGGCTTAAAAAATCTTTCTAAAGGCAGCAACTTTAGTAGACAGTAGGCTGGCTCTACACATGTAGGGAAGCACGCAGATCATGTGTGCATCTGGCAGAACCCCCAGTACAGAGAAGAGCAGGTGTTGTTTCCCGAGACACCTTCTTCTCTGTGTCCACACTATAGTTAGAAAAGGGCTCAGACTTTTAGTTACTTTTCCCAGAACTCAAAGATCATCTTCCTGTTTATCTTGGTAGAATGCCTGTTATACTTGTGATTTTTTGTTCTCTGTAACATGTTAAAACAAGATAGTCACAGATGGGGAAACAAGAAGTCATTAGTAAAGAATCATATGCTTGATTTCCTGAGCAGAAATGATTCAAACGTGTGGATTTTTCACGTATTTTTTAGAGGAGGAAGAGGGCTAGTCCTTTGAAGGTAAATTCTATCTAGTGGGCTTATTTCTCAAGAGTCAACACACATTTCTAAATTCATTTTCTCATTTGAATTCGGCCTATGCATTTTATCTCAGCTTTGCCTCTGTCACTTAATAAGTCTCTTGTCATAGCACTATCAAGCTATCGCCAGTCACTGCAACATGATGCTGATCCCTAGGCTAAGGAGCTGACCCACATGATGCAGCAGACCTCTCCTGTCTTGCAAACTGCTCCCTTCAGCAGTGTGTATCAGTGGATCTGCCTGTTCTGCTCCCCATTCTCTCTCTCTGGTGAATCACCTACACCTCTGGCCTACACCCCAGCTCTTACATGCTTAAGTAAAAATAAATACTTTTAAAAATTGCTTTAAAAAATACTTTCTGGCTCTGGGAGACACAAGAGTTTCTTTAACTCACTGATTTAGATAACCCACCTAGTGCAGCTACTGTTTTGTCTCACCTTCTGTATACAAATGGGCATAATAATGTCTTATTCCCCAAAGCCATTACATAGCTCTTTTGTACTTTTCAGAATTTCTAAAGTAATTTGCTTGGACTCTTGATTTCTTGTTAGTGCAAAGGACAGAGTTAGTAATTCCTGTTTCCTTGTTCCCAATCTCATCCCTTCCTTGCCGATCTGACTCCAAGCTCCCTGTTTTTATTTGTTTACCTGCCTGCCTCAGCACTCCACTGTTCACCTCCTGACTGTGTGTAGTAACATTCATTTGTGTGCCAAAGGTAGTATGGCCCATAACATGCTCTTACTACATTTATTGAAGTCTAGTTAGTAGTATCTAAAGCAATGACATGTTATTGTGTTTCATAAAGCTCTGTGAAAGTTCCACACGAGACACACAGGTTCCTGATTCTTTACAGAAAACTGGATTTTACTTTCGTTTGGGATCTGAAGCTGAGTTTAACACTTCTGTCAGGCTTCCAAAGGCCAGGCCAATTGGAATTGCTGTGTTCTTTCACCAGACTGGATCTGCAGGATATTGTTTACCTATGTGGCAGAATTTAGTAACAGTTTTAAGTTGTGTACAGTAGATGAACTAATATTTTTGGATATGGCGTTTTAAAAATATTCTACAAAGTGATGTATGATTTCTTTTTTTGGGCCTTGTCCTACACATTTCAGCTCTTAGAAGCTAGGATGGCTTTTATCTCTGAGTCCTGAAGTTACTTGCAGTCTGCCAAAGGTACACAAACCTACCAATATTTTCCACATTAGCGGGTGTTGAATAAAGATTGTGAAAACCTAAATCCCAGTCTTTGTTTATTCTTAAAATGAATGTCAGGTGAAAACAACTTACCTAATTTATGGCAAGGTCTTTACCTTTTATAGAACTGTATCCATCAACGTAGCAGAGATTTCCTTTTTTAAAATCGCTAATATAGTAATGGTCATTTACCACCAAAATCCAATATTCAGGATCTGTCAGCTTGCCTGGATGTGAATATTGGAAGAAGTGATTACCTTTTTTGACTTGGTAGCCCCAAAATTCTTCACTACATTTTGTACCTGGCAAGATTTCACAAAGCTTTAAAATGACAAAAATACACCAAACTTCAGCATCTTTAATTTCGACTCAAAAGGGTCTCGGATGTACGCCGCCGTAACCGATTTTGCTTTTAACCATTCCAGGCATTTTTGAAAGACTCTATTGGTGGGACGGATCGAGCATCTTGGGACGCTGATAGAATCTGATTTCTGGACTCAGTTCCAGTGCTGGGTGAGCTTGAGCAAGTTACTTCTCTCGATTTCCGTTTCCTCTCGTGCAAAACGAGGATCTCCACAGCTACCTAGCCACCACCTAGCCTAGAGCGCGCCTAGAATACACCCAGTCGGTCCAAAACAAATAGCCATATTAAGATATCCCAGCTCCGTGACGATCTGGCGGGCGTCGCTCTCCCGAGCAGGTGTAGGCACCGTCCGGGTAGCCGGGACCCGCGGCTGCCCAGCAGCCCCCGCCCTTCCTCCGCTCACCAGCCCGCCCCCCAGCGTCCCCTTGCTGTCCGCGGC